TTCAATATCATTGTCTGTGCATTGCTCTTGGCTGTATGCACTCAACGCATAACATGAGTCTCGAAGTTCTGGCAGGAGTAACATCCCTCCAGAACCGTTTCTGGGAGCTCTATCTCAGAATACTAATCAAATGCGGAGTGACAAATACACTTATAATTGCAAATTTTGAAGAAATTTTTGAGCTGAACACACAATCTCTATTTATGAGAATCTACCACCACTACATATCCTCGGATATGTGTCTTCCTTGTTATACTCCAGACCGTGCTCACTTCACCAATCGCAGTTACTCAATTGAATATGATCTGTCCATGAAACAAGTGATTCATGGGATTCCAGATCAACTTCGAACTATTATTATCCCACGTATTTTTACTGAAAAGTACCAACACGTCAATTACGTGAAAAGACGTGACAGACGGGTCACGTCTCAATGGATCCACTGGCTTCGGTGTCTTCAATGAAAACTCTAGCGCCTTCCGCAAACTTCAGGAGCCTTGTTCCGTTTATGTTGCTGACCTGGCAGCAATCAACTTCGCATTGGGGATGATTTCCAACATGCCCGCAGACCATTACTTCATCTTCTCGGATCTAGGTGAGTAAGAAAGGTGCCACAGTCGGAAGAAGTGTTAGTTTGTTTACTAAAATGAACCGCTCATTTTGTTATGGCAAGATTTGCTATAAGAAATGCTCCTCGTGTTTATTAGCGAAATTCACATTAAAGATTGATTAATTGCGTAGGAAATCAGTTTGGCACGGCATTTGTAACCAGAATACACCTTCCGGTCGTATGAAACAGGTCAAAAACTGTCCAAATCCGCAGATAAAAATTTTTGTTTTGAATTTCTGTATGGCAAAATAGTGAACTTTTCGTGAACATTAACGACTAAGAACTCACCAACACTGGGAGACCGTGAGTTCCTGCCCACCTGTCTTTAAAAAACATCTCGTTCTCGGATAGTCTCAGTTCGATTGAGGCTATTCGGTCGATGAAACCAAGTAGGCACTCATCTTATTTCCTTTCAAAGGTAAGGGAGCAGATGAGTGTGCTGGTCGAAAGATCATATATGATTACCTTTGTATGGGTCCCCTCACATTGCTCAATCCCAGGAAATGAGAAAGCGGACCCTCTCGCAAAGGTGGGCACGCAGGAAGGCGAATTTTATGACAGGCAAATTTCACACGATGAATTTTACCATTTAGTGCGTCAGAGTACCCTTTCGAGTCGGCAAACAGATTGGGACACTGGAAATCTTGGACGGTGGTTACATTCAATTATTCCTAATGTTTCTTCGAGAGCGTGGTTTAAAGGTTTTGGCTTAAGTCGTGACTTCATTCGCGTGATGAGTAGACTTATGTCCAACCCAAACTCGCTAGATGCGCATCTCAATAGAATAAACCTTGTGGACAGCAACATATGTCGGTGTGGAAACGATTACGACGACATCGATCACGCAGTTTGGCAATGTACAGATAATGACGCCGCCAGAGAGCGACTTTTGAATACCCTCGAGGCCCAAGGAAGCAAACCCTATATCCCTATCAGAGACGTGTTGGGTACCCGGGATCTCTGCTATATGCAGTCGATTTATGTGTTTCTGCAAATGTCTAGTATAATAATTTAATTCATTTGTCTTTTGTATCTCTTTGTTAGTTTTTGTTTGGCTTGTCCCCCGTCTCGATGAGTCTTATCGTCGCCCACTGGTCACCATAGCCGGTTGAACTCCAGACGAATCTAGAACCACACTACCGTCCATACTGGCGACATCGCTCTGATGAGACAACGAAACCCTACCCCAAGCTCCTCCCCTTTTCCTATCCTTCGACAATGTACCCCTCTAACCTCGAGTAAGCTGCGAGTATACGGCCCAACTCCTACTAGACATAGAATTAAGTGAATTTTGTTACAAACAAAGAACAATGAATTATCGGCTCCGTTAAGCTAACACGATTGAGCCTTACAAATAAACGAACTAGATAAAAAAATCACTTTGCATGATTTGCGTCATGGAACTGAACCAGTCTTCTTCTTCGTATTCGCATTTTAAAACTTATTGCTTAGCGCATATTAGCTTATTGCGTGCTCTCAACTTAGTGTTCTCAATGCACTTCCACAGTTATTAATTGAGAGCTTTCGATGCATGAATTTTTATATTGTGTGGCAAGCACAATGATATTCTATGCCCAGGGAAATCGAGAAAATTTCCAACCCGAAAGATTCCCTCGACCGTACCGGGAATCGAACCTGCCGCCTCCGGCTTGGTAATACCATAGAGGTAACTCTAAGACTAGTAGGTCCCGAAGAAACGTGCTCAACTTTTTGGCTCAGCTCTGGTACTATCTTCGGTCCCAAGCTAATCGATGCACCCCTCGAAACATAGTATAATCCACTAACCCCCATTTTATCTGTCAAACTTTCATAGCGAATCAAAACAAACATAGTGTAGTACTAGAATTTCGACAAGAATGGGATACGTTAATCGTTTGCTTGGGACCAATAGGCTAGTCAAGTAGTGAGCCAATTTCAAATCGATAGTTTCGTATTGATTGTTGGTAATACCGTGCCTTTACTTACTAGGCTATGAGGCCTTATGGAGCTGAACCAGTACCATATGCATTTCAATTTGGGATGACAATCATTCTACAGAGAGTATTACCATAGAGGTAACTCTAAGACTAGAAGGTCCCGAAATAACGTGCTCAACTTGTTGGCTCAGCTCTGGTACTATCTTCGGTCCCAAGCTAATCGATTCACCCCTCGAAGCATAGGAAAATCCACTAACCCCTCATTTCATCTGTCAAACTTTCATAGCGAATCAAAACAAACATAGTGTAGTACTAGAATTTCGACTGGAATGGGATACGTTAATCGATTTCTTGGGACCAATAGGCTAGTCAAGTAGTGAGCCAATTTAAAATCGTTAGTTTCCACCGGTTGGTATTACATATTTCAACTGAGCTCCTTTCGCTTCTCGTATCAATTGGCGTTGACGTCACCGTCGAAAAATTTGCTCTTTCAGCAAATATGGACAGTTTCTTATGGGAATTTTCGATATAGTGAAAGGATAGTACCAAGTCCGCCATGTTTCACGCACAGTCTGACGTTTGCTTATGGATTTTCTCATAGGAGTAAAATTCTACAGAGTCGCCGTCAACGCCAATGTTCATCCTTTATTCGAGAGGAGCATCATTTGATTGCATAACAACCGTCATTCGGTTGCAGCCATCATTCGAAGAAGCGATTTCGATGTTTCGATTTGAATGGTCTGAGGTTTCATTTGAGGAAGATGTTTTGGTACAGTGTATACGCTGGTGTATTGCCAATTCCAAGAAAAATTATCATCAGCTTTAATAACATGCCGTGGCTGTTAGTTGCGTCGGCAACTTAATCGGCAAAAGTGATAGGCTGACAGGTGCATCGCCAATGGACTACAACAATAAAAACAGGTTAAGGTGCTGGAACACAAAGTGGTGGAGATGGACCTGACGTCACCGGAGACTAAAAAGAACAGAACAGTGGAGATAAATAATTATTATCCGATGTTCAGAAATAGCAGCCGCCTGTTTTTAAACTTCGAAGGGACGCGTAGGGCTTACACGCTATTTCAAAACTACCCAAATATGGGTAGAATCCACCCAGATCCGTCAAAACTGAACCTACCCAAAAATGGGTAAACTGTGTTGGGAGTGACAAGTTGACAAATGAACAACGTCGATCGGATTCATGAAAATGTTTTTCATTTGTCAACTTGTCACTCCCAACACAGTTTACCCATTTTTGGGTAGGTTCAGTTTTGACGGATCTGGGTGGATGCTACCCAAATTTGGGTAGTTTTGAAATAGCGTGTAGATCTAATTTTGAGCCTGCTGTTTACCGCTATTTTCGAGCGGGTTTTTTTTTCACAAAATGGAATGTTTTCACTGCAGATGTCTTTTAATTGTACTTACCTTTCCGAACGTACCGTAAGATTTGATAGAAAGTAACAATTTTTTGATATATTGTTAAAAATCTAACACTGTTTCTTGACCCCAAACTCTTCCTAACGCATTAAAACGCCATTCAAACACCATTGAATTCACTTCGGCCTTCTTCTGTTTTTGAAAATAATGGGCGCAAACATTCATATCACGCGTTCTTATTTACTTCGTTCGGTAGTTTTTGAACTAAAGTATCGCACCAAACGCATAATTGACTTGTTAACTCTGAAATCAAGGATTTATTAGATGTTTTCTGCTCGATTAGGCCGAATCAGTTCTCTATCCTAACACTTGTAGAAATCCGGGATACATAGTAGATGCCAGCACCATATTTGACGCGTTCCTAATGATGCCGCACTCGTCTATTTTTGATCGCATTTCGATTTTGACAAGATTTTTTTTTTTTTTAACCTCGACACCATCATCCCTTGAGCACTGAAACTAATATATGCAGAAGTAACATTTCAAAAATAATTATTGAAAATACTCGAACATAATTGAGTGCGTCGATTTAGGAACCGCTTCGAATATGGTGCCTCCACGGTATACCGAAAAGAAGCGCATTTAAGAAGGCCGAGTATACCGAAAAGAAGCGCATGCGTAGAAGGCAGAAAACAAAAGCAAAATTCAAGTCACTTTCCAGCCCAAGAATAGTAAGAAGAATGTTTCTCATAAATATGTTTTTATTATTTTAAAAGTATTTACTATTTCTCGACATCGAGGAATCCATTTGGACATTTGAGCAATAATTAATAAACTAATTTAAAAAATTCTATTGTGTTGAAACAGTCAGTCAAAGATCGATTCCATCTTTATTTCATCACCATGTTGTATAAAATAACCTTACCATAAGTAGATATGTTTGAGATTGTTATTATTGAGATGGCAATATTTCTGACTCTTCTAAACCGACACCAGAAATTTATCTGTTATTAAATCTCATTTGTAATGACTGGCCCGAGAAACAAACAAAAATTACGATCAAATACCGGTCTATGAAATCTTAACAGTATTAATTCCAGCACTATAAATACTGGTTCAATCACATTTCTTCAGCCTTTCGGCATCCATTTATTTCCACAGCCAATGATTCTCAAAGCAGTGCCGCACCACGTTTCACTGATTAAACTTTTTCGTTGGCACATAAACCATAGGCTCGATTCGAGCTAGCTGTTGGTGCTGACCAACAACTGCCGGCCACAAGGACTGAGCTCTGTATTCCAGCTGAAATTCAGCACACGTTTTTAAAAACACCGGATACAGCTGCGGCAGTATGCCGTGGTCTAGTGTCGGAAACAAATGATGCAAACTATGATCACCGAAGCTGACCAGCGCCTTGAACTGCGATCCATTGATATCGGATCGGTCGATGATCGCTGCCATCTGGTACACACCGAAATCGATGTCCGTTCTGTGGGAAGTCAGTGTAGAAATGGATCAACCGGTATTTTTCTCCAGTATGTTATATTTAAACTTACGGAATCCAATCACCCGAGTGAACGACATCTGGATGATGGTGAGCTGCAGTCACACCGATTGCTGCAAAGACGAAACTTGCTACCAGTACAATGAAGAACCACATTTTCAGTACTTCCCAAATGCCACTATTGCTAGTAGCCAACATAAAGAGAGGCAATGCCGCTGGGATGATATTGTCTGCGTAGAAGGTATTCTTCCTCGATATCACCGATTCGATTATACTACAAGAAAATCATGGGTATAAATTAAAAAGACGTAAAATTTCAGTAGTACCTTCAAACATACCGTATGACAAATACACCAAAGAACATTGCACAATAATACACCGGACCGTAGATCCACGAGCCAAACCTTTGGAGCAGATTCTTACTTGACGGTATTGGTAGAAAGCAAATGAAGGGTTCCACTAAAGATATCTCCAGATCCAGCAATGAGTTGGGAAACAAATGATGTGAAAGCACATGTGATATTCTCCAATCCCTATAAATATACAACTTTTAAATGAGCTCGTCAACTCTTGTACTAATTAGCCAACAACTTGCCTGTAACTAAAAAATGCTAAATTGAACGCCAACATTCGCCAGTTGTCCTTCCTATGGAAGAAATTGTGGGCGGCGATCATGGTCCAGGAGATGAACAATGCACAAATCGCAGCCAGCAGATAACTATCAAAATTGATAGCCATGGACGCTAGGACGAATGAACTACACAATAGTGAATCCAATATCATTTCCGAAGTTCGAGCCGGCCGGTAGTCGATTACCGTAAGCTTATCACGCACACGTCTTTTTAGTGTTTTGTAGAATCCATGCTCGTGGAACGTCAGCTGGACGTTCCGCGGGGACTGAGCCGTTCGAATGCGAAATTTCGGCAATAGCTGCTCGGGTCGTGTTCCGATGTGATGAACTTCAAACGCCTCCGTGATGTCGGTTCCCTAAAGCAGACGAAGCAATTTAATGCATATCCCTATTGAGAACATGATGCGTCTAATTATACCTTGGTGGAACGAATCCATTCAGCCCCTCCTGGATGACTGTCCATGAATTTGGTAAGGTCATACAACGAGTCATTTATTCGCCACAATCCTTCTGCATCGTCATCGCGGCGTTTTCCTCTTAACCATTGATTGTTCGTTCGCAGAGGATTGCGGTAATAGGAGGGGTATTTCGCTGTGATGGATTGTGCAATGGAGGGATTGTTATTGTTGATAGCAGACGTTGCTGCTGCCAATTTGTCACCATCTGTAACAACCGTATTGACTGTAGCAGTTGTTGTCGTCGAAGTCCAGTTTACCATGATGAACTGAAAATAAAAAAAAATAAAAAATCTTAATCAGCACGGGAGCAAAGTCATGATTGGGATAGATTGACGAACAGCAGTGCCGAAATATACCTTGGTGGAACGAATCCATTCAGCTACAAAAACAATGAGGATCATACAAAAGAAGTTTGAAAACGCATTGCTCGTGCCATGAATTTTTCAACTACTGCGAAGATCGTAGTTGACTGGTTATTTTTCCTCATGAATTCGTCTCATTGCATGATCTGTCAAAGTAGAGCAGATCACAACAGCATCATATCATTGCACAGGTAATTATTGCCAATTCAGAGAAAAATTTGCATTTGACGTCAGATTATCAGCTTTAATAGCATGCCGTGGGTGTCAGTTGCGTCGAATTGTTTTCCCTTAATCGGCAATATTTAAACAGTCTGACAAGAATATTTTCATTGTATTGTTTCTATAATTAACATATTTTATAATAAGTGCATTGATTATCCACAGCTAAAAAAAAGTAGTGTAAATTTCCGTTACTATGATGCACATAAATGGAGCGTCATATATCATACAAGTTTAGATTATAGATCGTGTAAATTTATGAGACATGTCATGCAATATTCGATATATTGTATGCAACTGTCCACTTTTGTTTGCAACATTTCTTGCAAGCTGCTAGTTTACGTGAAAAGGAAGTTTACATGTATGAATGTTTGCATGCATGGATGTTTACATCACCAGTAAAATTCAGAATTTTTTGGTGTGCAGGCGCTGCTAGATTGGTACTGGCTTTGACACTTCGTTTGGCTCTCTTATCTAATAGCAGCTCGTTGAAAATCGGTTAAGGAATATGAAATAATATGATCAAATTTCGTTGGTCATGACCAATTTAACCGTAAAGATCACTGCCTATAATCCCATATCAGTCCCATATGGATTTTCGTCAATGTTAAGATAATAACGCTAATGTCAGATAGTTCGTTAAGACCAACCACACCAACCAGCGTGGAAGGAGTCAACATCGAACCAGGAACGGAAATTAGTGCGGATTTATCTCCCTCAGAAGCACGGAATGAAATATGAAGCGTTAGGGAAAAAGTACAAGGGATTCCAAAAGAATTAATCAACGTAGGCAGACCAGCGGAACATGGTAATACCGGGCCAATTATTGTTTATAAATTAAATATCAAAATTTAACTAAATTCGTTTGCGATTTCTATTGTCAACAAACGTAAACCCGTTGGTAATAAAGCGAAGTTTTTACCGTGTTAAATTGATCTGTGTTTACCGTGTTTTGTTCTATTGTGTGCGCGTTCGTGAAGAGTACCTCAGTGAAGTGGAAGATTTCATGTAGCTGGTGCTAGTTGAGTTCTCGATCAACTTGGGTTGTACGCAAATAACGTGCTCTAGATGTGCGATCAATGTGCGGCGCTTTTTTCAAACGGCCACTTCCGCAATATCGTGAGTCGTGACGTCAATCAAACTTCTGTGACGCCGAATGCGGTGGATTCGATGAAGGAGGATATTGAAAAACTGAATTCAGCTGTTAATGCTCTAGCAGCAAAAGTTGATTCAAAGGTTCCAACAAGCTCTACCCCACGTTGGCCCAGAAATAATCGCTTTGATTCTGTGCGTGGCACCCCAAGACGTCGCCGTACTTCGTCCAACTGCATCGATAAAACTTCCCGATCTTCCTTGTTCATTCCAGGTCTTCTGGAACAATTCACCTTCTGATACGTTCAACGTTCACGCTGGGGTTCCCCAGGGTAGCCTTCTAGGTCCTATCCTCTTCAGCATCTTCACGTCAGATGTTTCTCCCCTTCCGGGTGGTGGTATTTTGTCAATGTTAGTGGATGACACTGCCATCATCTATAAGGGTCGAGTGATCGGTGTTCTGACGAGAAAATTTCAATCAGTCCTGGATGTTCCACAGACCATACTATTTCCACACTCAAATTCACCTCGGCTTCTTCCGCGTGGTAACATAAAAGTCCACCTTGATAATACTCCCATTGAATGGTCGAGTGAAGTCTAACCCTTGATAGAAAGTTGCTGTTCCGTTCCAATGTGGACAAAACATCCACCAAGTTCAACATCTTGATTAGGTCGCTATATCCACTTATCAACAGAAAGTCCACCCTGTCCCTTAAAAACAAGCCTGCCTTTCAAACACAAATCACAAACACAATGAATACGGAACGCCAATCTGGGAGAGCTGTACAAAGTACCATCACCTAAAACTCCAAAGGATCCAGAACAAGATCCTTATGATGACCCTCAACAGTCCCCCGCAGACTCAAGATCAAATCACGAGATCGCGATCTAGCTAATTAGGTTAAATTGTTTGTAGTTGGGTAGTTTATCAAATTATTTTTTGAATTCAGTAAAAATGAACCCCAAAGGGGTATTTTGTAAACTAGTTGAAAAACGTGAATACGTAAATTAGAATAACAAATTAAACAAATATGAAGAGCCTGATAGCGAAGACAACAAATCAAGCTTGATTTGTTGTCTTCGCTGATAGGCTAATCAATTGAAATGTTAAAACATCGCTGAGGTATTATCAAGCATCGATTGGGAAACTGTGCTCGATAGCTCTGACGTGGAAATTGCCGCACGGACTTTTGCAAATGTTCTGTCATATTTTATCGATAGGCATGTGCCAAAAACGGTGCATCGAGATCGAGATCGTCATCCGTGGCAAACGAAAAGTCTTCGTAAGATGAAATCCATCAAGAGAACTGCGTTAAGACGGTTTACGAGATACCGCACTATATCACTTCGAGACTATTACGTGAGGCTAAACTTGGCGTACAAAATGGCAACACTGGAGAGCTTTTCCCACTACCAGCAGAACCTGCAGCGCGAATTCAAGTCCAATCCACGGAGTTTTTGGAAGTGTGTAAAGAGTCCGGTCACCCTTCTACCATGAAGTTAGGAGATGACGTTGCATCTAGCCTTGAATAAATTTGCCAGCTCTTCGCGAACAAATTTTCCAGCGTGTTTGCCAACGATAGTATATCGTCCTAACAAGTTGCTATAGCTACTTCCAATGTACCCGCCTACAATCACGTACTGAACGAAATCCCGGTCGATGAAGCTCTCATCTCATCGGTAGCACCCAGGCTGAAATCGTCTCACAATTCCGGACCAGACGGAATACCGTCCGTTTTCCTGAAGGAACACTTAACGTGTTTACTGAAGCCTCTGAGTCATCTCTTCGGATTGTCTTTGAGAACTGCGGATGTGGACAACTACCGTGGAATCACCTCGCTGTGCGCTATCTCAAAACTCTTCGAATTAGTTGTTATGGAGCCACTGTTATCGCACTGTAAGCAGTATCTCCATGAAAACCAACACGGATTCGTTTCCAACCGATCAACGACTACTAACCTGCAATGCTTCACCTCGTACGTTACGAGAAGCCTAGTTGTGCGACATCAGACCTATGCAATCTACACCGACCTATTAGCAGCATTTGACAAGATCAATCACGCTATCACCATCGCTAAATTGGAACGGCTAGGGATTAATGAATGTCTACTATCTTGATTCCAGTCGTATCTTATCGAACGCCAACTAAGTGTGTCTATTGAGGATTGTAATTCGATCGCTTTCCCAGCAACTTCAGGTATTCCTCAAGGAAGTCACCTCGAGCCAATAATTTTCTAAATTTATTTCAACGATGTGAACTTTGTGCTAGAGACACCTCGTTTGGCATTCGCTGATGATTTTTCTCAAGATTCAAACGCATGCTGACGCTATGTTGCTACAAAGTAAGATTGGTAGATTCAGTGACTGGTATGACTTGAGCCGCATGACAGTAAATCCTAGCAAGTGCACACTCCTGGGAAATTCAATTGAACGAGTAGGTCACGTGAAGTACCTGGGTATTATCTTGGACTCACAACTGACGTTCAAATAGCACATTTCAATCATGGTAGACATAGCCTCCAGATTTTTGGGGTTTATCTTTACGATAGCTAAGGATTTCACTGACGTGTACTGCCTTAAATCGTTATACTGTTCCCTAGTACGATCTACATTAGAATATGGCGCAGCTGTTTGGAACCCTTTTTATAATAATGGAGTTGAGCGAATCGAGTCAGTTCAACGCAGATTCATTCGCTACGCACTTCGGCGATTACCGTGACCCCCTATGGAGAACGTTGTTCATTAATACACCTAGAACCTCTCAACACTCGCCTAGTTCAACACTCGTTGATTACCCAGCTTTATTGGAACAAATAAACATCAATGTGCAGCCTAGGTCCTTGAGAAACAATAAACAGAATTTTACTGTTCTACAGTGGAATTGTCGAAGTATTGTTCCTAAATTGGAATCGTTTAAGTTTTTAGTTCACAATAATGATTGTGATGCATTTGCTCTTTGTGAAACTTGGCTCTCTTCAGATATAGATCTTCCTTTTTATGATTTTAACATTATTCGACTGGATCGTGAGGATTCGCGAGGAGGAGGAGTACTTTTGGGGATCAAAAAGTGCCATTCCTTTTATAGAGTGAATCTTCCACAATTTCCAGGTATTGAAGTTGTCCGCATGTCAGGCTATTATTAAAGGTAAGAACCTTTGTATTACTTCTGTTTATATTCCTCCTAGAGCCGTTGTTAATCGAAAACAACTTTCAGATATCTGTTCGGTACTTCCTGCTCCACTGTTGATTATGGGAGATTTTAAATCCCACGGTACAGGATGGGGGAACTGTATGATGACAACCGTTCTACTTTGATATATGACCTCTGCGACAGCTTCAATATGACAATTCTTAACAATGGAGAAGTAACACGTTTGGCTGGCCTATCCTCGAATGAAAGTAGATTAGACCTCACCCTTTGCTCTAGTTCATTATCGTTGGATTGCACGTGGAATGTGATCCAAGATAGTGATCACTTGCCGATCAAACTTGCAGTAGCTAGTGGGTTAAATCCGTTGGAACCCGTTAACGATAGGACAAAGATCGTTCGTAATATCGATGGGACAAAGTTCAAGACTGTGATAGATGAAGCA